AATGTGGGCATAATTTCGAGTTTACCAAAAAAATCTAAATAAATATAATTTGTAAAAATGCTATTTTTACTAAGGATGAGAAAGTGTAAAAAAAAATATATTAGTTAACTTTTGAATTAACTTTACCGATTTTTTCTAAGATTAACTTAACGAGTTAAAAATAATCTTTAACTTGCTTAGTCTTAATAAAATCAATTCGTTAGGCTCTAAAAGAAATTTGAAAAGCTGTAGCTATTTGAAATTGTTGTTAGATACATAAGTCATTAACTCAGAAATCACTAAACAAAAAACATATTGTTGTAAAGTAGATATACATATCTCTTAGCTTATAGTTTAAAACTAATATAAATATAGTTTACAATTTTAATTTAACTATGGTAATTCTTAGTAATACAAATATTGTAGGTAAATACGTAACATGGGTATTCATCTAATACATATATTTATTATTTCATATTATATTTAAATGAAAATGACTGTTTAAAAAAGATAATGATAACAATAAAAACAAAATAGATATTTTTATTAATTTGTAACTACCTATTGTTTTAACAACAATATTATTTTAATTTCATGTGTTAAAGTAAACGTAATAAAAAAATATTTAAGATAATTAATTTTACAATTTTTAGCTTGATATACAAAATTAATTACAATATATTAAGTAATTAAATAATAGGTATAATTATAGGTTTATTTCACATAAATTAAACTTATTTAATAATTAACATATTTTAAGGTTGATTTTATTAAAACACTTTTCATTTTATGTTTGTAATTTAACATTTACTAAAAAATTAATTTGATTTAATTTATATATTAATCATCATATAATTTATTACACATAAATACATATAATCATGGTTCATAGAAAAAAACAGTATAGAGAAAAAAAATCTTAATACTATATAACCGAAATGTAACTACAGTTTAAAAATTAACTTAAAAGCCTTAAGGAATAATAATATTACTCCGTTTAAAAAAAAAAGTGTAGATTAGCAAAAACGTATGAAAACTAAAATCGACTTTGCTGACATTTTCAAGTTAAACAGTTATTTATACAAAAAAAATTGAAAAGCAATTTGTTTACTAATTTTGCAAGAACATTTTTTCGTTTTACCATCGTGAAAATAAATAATTAATTTTACTATCCCTAACAGCTACAAAAATTGTTATATTCATCATCGTATGGTCATCACTCGCTGATGTTGATGTCAGTGGCGGCTCGTGAGGTTCGCATAAGGCAGTACACAAATAATTTGTTGGATACTTATGCAGTTGGGTAAAAAAAAATATTAATCTTATTATAAGTATGGGTATATATAACATACTTATCAACATATAGTTTCCCTAATCAAGTTCCCTAAGCTCTTCGTCACTATCAAATAAAAATAATTTGAAAAAAAATAATTTATTGTGTATGAGACATAAGCACGAAAATCTTATTTCACGATTGGCGCGATACGCGGAACGATAAAAATTAGTCCAGTGCATATATCGATTGTGCTCCAAACGACCATGTTTTACTAACTGACCTACCTATACATTTGGCTAGCTTTTGCACGGCCGCCCGGAGCACAACGAACGTGTGCTCTGTTAATTATTTGGTCGCCAATAGACACAATTCTCAACACGAAGAGCTGGGAAACCTTTTTTTTTAACAAACATTATTATTAATTACCATACAGATTACGTACATAATAACCATAACATAATTTAATTTACTATAAAAACTAATAACTAATAAACTAATAACTTTTATATATAATTTGTTTGGATTGTTTACGTGTTCCTGTGCACCATAGCACGAGCCGCCACTGGTTGATGTATAATAATACATTGTCTAGTTATGTATTAGCGTACTGAATAAACTTAGCGAAGTGTTTATATCAATATTTCTGTTTAGTTGTATTATCTTTGAACGGTGTTTAAATGTACATAATTTCTCAAATATTATGGCATTTATTAATGTGATTCTACATAGATATAATAGATACATATTTATAATAATGTAAAGATTTTATTCTTTACGCCAGAATATTTTTTGTTTAAATTTTAATTAGAAAATGATAATAACCATCTCATTTTTGTTTTTTGTTTTTTTTTTTTTTTTTTTTTTTTTTTTTAATGTAAAATGCTTATATTATAAATAAACACATAATATTTTCATTGTTTAAAAATCTGTCATTTTTTTTTCAATATTATATTATTATACAACGTACACATACTGTTTTTATTGAATTTAAAAAAGTAAAAAATAATTTTAACTAAATTAGATATAAATAATAGTAATCATTTTGGGAGTCGAATTAATTTTATTCAATTTTCAATTTTTTTTTTTTTTTAAGATTTTTCGATAGTGAACAATGTGTTCTATAGATTATAATGTATTTTTTACTTTATTATTTTTTTTTAGAACTATGGTTTAATCTTTGCAAAATTTTTTTAGATTACATATACAATATAATTTTCATCTACAAAACAAATTAAAAATAAAATTATTTTAATTTATCTAATACTATTGTTTTGTAATATGTTGATGTTAATAACTAAATTTACATAATTTTATGTTTTTATTGTGTGTATTATTAAAATTATAAGGGACCCCCCTTATACATTATAAATAAAAATAAATAAATAAATAAATTATCTTATAGAAAGATGGATAAATGGATATTAAAGACTGAATATAAAACTTTTAATACATTTAATAGTTATAAAAATTCATTGAAAATGTACTAGGAAATATTTAGATTACTTAAAATCAAATTTGAAATTATTGAATAAATCTAAAATAAATACTGAAAGATTTCGTCATAATTTATTAATAATGATGGGCGATAGTCAGGGGTGGGTCTAGGGGGGGGGTTCAGATGGATATGTGGTCCTGCGGTCTTCTATTGCGACTTTATGGGAGGTAGAATACGAACAAGATGCGATGCTGGCCGTATCCTACATCGTGGGTATGCTTCTCTACATGATAGAAGACGCGACAAAAATTGCAGCAAACGAATCCGACAGCGCGTTAGTTGTTGTAAGTGAGGATATGGAAGACAAGGAGGATATGGACGATGGACCATCAAGTGAGAATTTTTGCTCCCTCGAAGTTTAAATGTTAACGGAATTTCAATATTAATAATAATTATTAATTGATCATTGTAAATTCAAATTCAAATCGGCTCATTATTTAATTTCTAGTTTTTATAATATATTTACGTTACATATATGCAGTGTTGCGCAAAGATAACTTAAAATTTATCTGGATAAAAATTAAAGATAGTTCAAATTTAAATTATCTAGATAAAGGTAAAAGATAACTTTATTCTTATTTTATTAATTAATTTACACTCTTTTTTATAAATGTATACTTAAAAAATTTAATTTAATTAATATTCGCTAAAATTTGATCTAATAGGTATCTCCAATATAAATAATGAACAAAAACTATTTATATGATGTACATTTATGTATGGGAAATGAGTAATTAATAATAAGTACTTAGTTTAAAAAAAATACATTCTTTTTAGATATATTATACTTTTATAAAACAATACATTACAATTTATATAATACTTATTATGGAGTAATCTTTATGGTTAAAATATAAAAAGATAATTCTGTATTATTTAATTATATTTCTTAGGAATCAAATATTGTAAGAGTCACTAAAAAGTATAAATCGAATAGTTTGTATTAAATAGGTAAACAATTCTTAAAAATAATACTTATAGGTATAATTTAAGTAATATAAATAAAAATATATTGCAGTAACACAACTTTTAAAATAATAATAATTAATTATAAAATTAATAAATTAATAATACTAGTAAAATTTTTATTTATTTTAAATTGTTATTAGTTTTTAACTTAGTTCAATAAACAAGTTCAATTAATTGAATTTTTTGAATAAATACACTTGTATTTATTTATCTAGATGAATTAATAACTAATAACTAATAACAAATTAATAACTCAAGAATCCATCTAAGTTAATTCATCAGGTAACTAATTTTATTTTTTATCTAGACAGGATAAAAGATAATAAATTATTTATCTAGATAATTTATTTAGATAATTTATCTAGAGAATGCTTAATGTATTTTTGATGTTGTAGCATTTTGATGGCGATTTATGATACGAATGTGTTTATCTGTTTTTATGTGATGTGTTAATAGATATTTGAATTTTACATAATTTAAAAAACAGTACTAATCCATCACTGGAAAAATATTTTCCCCGAACTCACTGACATGTTTAGATACACTTGTCATCGACGGCTTAATTTTCGGCGTTTTAATGTGAATACGAAACGAACGGACAACAAAAACAAATACAACGAAATACGCGACAAAGCTAAACACTGAACTAAATTCCTATAATATACTAAGGACAATATTACAAGTTAAAACATACTAAGATATTTACCTATTAAGGAATGTACCTATTAGTAAATATGATAAACTTATAATTATTTTTTTTATTGTTTTTTTATTTCTATATATTTTGAATTGGAAGGCATTCTTCAATTATAAAAAGGAAAAACGATTTTCTGATTCCTAGCTAATTTCATCTAGTAAGTACTTTTATCAAAGAATTTTTATAATTCTCAAAAGTTCTCAAAGTATTAAAAAAGAGCTAATAAAATATTACAAAAAAATAAATATCCACAAAATATCTCGAAAACCTAATACACCAGTGGTCTCAAACATACGGCCCGCGGGCCACAAGTGACCCGTGAACCCTTTCTATGTGGCCCGCAATAAAAATACATTTTGAACAAAAATATAAAAAGAATTGTTAAAATTGAAATTGTTAATAAAATATTAAGTAATAATATTATCTAACGTTCATGTTTTATTTTATTTACTTGTTCGGAAATCCCATTATGCTCAATAAAATCAAATCTTATCTACAAAGATAAATATAAATTATACTTCGGTGTAATAGTGGGTAACAGGCTAACAGCATGACTGTGATCAGTGTTGTTTTGTTCGTACGAGTAACTAGTTGCTATTCAAGTTGAATTTTAAATTTAAGTTTATACGCGTAATTTGTTTGTTGTAACGTCTCATATCAAACCGATGAAACGTAAAATTTACCAAGAAAGACGGGCTTTTCAAGAAAAATGAGGCTATGTATATATTTTTACTTATTCTAATTCTCTTCCAATATGTTTGATCTGTAAACAAAGCGTATCTGTCATCAAGGAGTACAATAATAAAAGACATTATGACACAAATCATGGTAAGATTTACGATAAATTTATAGAAAAATTACGCGAAGAAAAATTTGAAGAATTAAAAAAAAATCTCTGGTATCAAACAAAATTATTTGATAGTATAAGAAGAGAAAATATTGATTCGGTTAAATGTTGTTACGTTATATCAGAAAAAATCGCACGCGCGTCAAAACCTTTTTCTGACGGTGAATTTATTAAAGATTGTATAGTGCGGTGGAAGTAATATGTCCCGAAAAGAAACAAGCATTTATGAATATAAGTTTAAGTGGAAATACTATTGCTCAGAGAATTGAAGAAATGGCCAACAATGTTAATTTTATTTTTTATTTTATTTATTATTTTATTATTTGGTTTAATATATTATATCTAGTAAAAATATATTTTAATGAAATCAGGAGCAGTTCTAGGACTAGATATTCGTACGGGCAAACAATATATTTTATGTTTCAAGTTACGTCCCGTTTCACGTAGGCGCGTATCGTACGCGTGTAACATAAATTGTTGTTTATTTTGTTTTCATAGGTAATTTTATAAATAATAAGTAATAAATATTTCTTGTTTTCACAGAGAAACCAAATGTTGCTATTATCCGATAAAAAATTTATAACATCCTTATGTACATTTATAAGTAAGCTGTAAGCTAAATTTAAATCCTAAATTTTCCTAAGCTACATTTTTTTCCTTAACAGTTAACACACATAAAAATAAAAATATTAATTCAAATTATATATATATATTTTCTTTTTTCTTTAGGTATATAAAAAATAATTTAACATATTATATATATTATATTATATATTATATCTGAAATTGTAATCTTCTATGTTTTATTTTTGCAAACATATCAAGAGCAGGAGTTGGGTCTTTTAACAATTTTTCCGAATTCTCTTTATCTATAGATAATAAAGCAAGGTTACTCAACCTAGGATTTTGCATTGTAGCTCTCAAGTAAGTCTTAATACGCCGCATAGTAGAAAAACTTCGTTCAGCACCAGTTGAGGATACAGGAATTACCATAGATAATTCAACTACTTTTCTCAAGTTAGTGAAAGCTTCGCTATAATTACTTATTTGTTGATATACATTAGACAATGTTGAAGTTTCCAAAAACAAAGATTTCCCAATTAAACACCGATTAACCAATTAAACACTTTTTTATTTATGAAAGTGTAAATAATAAAAACAAATATATATTTGAATTCCTTAATTCTTTACTTATTTAAACATCACAGTGAACCTTTTAAGGTGAACGTAAAAATTTTGGTACGGGCAGCTGCCCACCCTGCCCGTACGCTAGAACCGCCACTGAATGAAATCACGAAATAAAAGAAATTTATAGATTTAAAAAATTTAAATTCCTTATCTTAAAAAAAAATGTAGTCAACATATATAGTATATATAATAAATTTAAATTAAACATTTAAAAATGTATACCTTTGTAATATATGATTACTAGGGCAAAGAAGTTATAGATTTTGCATGTTTTTTTCTGAGTCTTTATTTTAAAGCAAACCAAGATATAAGTATGACTCATAAGCCCCATAGTTGAAATATTAAATTTTTTTTTGCATATTTCGTTATTTTGTGAATATTTCACGCATATTCTACACATTCACACATTTTTGAGGGAAAAATTGCTCAATTTAAAATTGATTAAAAACTGTATGATATTATTATATTTATATACTATATAAATGGTATTATACACACCACCCGATGCCCATGTAGACTATCTATTATTGTAGGTACCTATTTTAGGTGGACATTCGGATAATGTTATCTTTATTATTATAACATCGCATCGTAGCAATTGGCAATTAAGTATTTATATTACATTTTATAACAACATTATTATGTGTCCGTTAGTAATTTTGTTAGTACCTATGGTGTTAAGTGTTGTGAATGCATATATTCAATTTTTTATGTGCATATTTGCATGCATATTTTTTCCAATTTTACTTTCTATAACTTCTCAGCTCTAATAATTACAATATTAAAATAAATAAAAATAATTTTTTGGATGGTTGATTATCAGACACTTTACTATACTGAATGATAATTATCAATAAAATATACTAGTCAGACTATATTAATTTATAATTGTAGACTTTAAAATTATATATTACTTGTTTTATTCTTACATATATATATATATATATATGTTGTACAAATATTATGGTAATTTATCAAATAAGCTATAAACGTATCATGAAAAATAAAATAATTTTTTCTTAGTTATTTGACCAAACTACAACAAATACTATTTATGATTCCCTGGTAAGGGAGTTCGTCGTGATTAATTCTCAATAGTAATCTTGTCGAACAAAGGTTTGAGCTTAAATCTAATGAAATGAAAACACACTTAATGTATGGTGAATAGAGTGATAGAAGATTCACATATATTATACAAATGTATACATACCATTTGTATTACGAATTAAAATTAATCTACAAACCTAATATCAACAATTTTATAGAAAAGAATTTCCAAAATTTAAAATCGATTACAATATGTAAATTAATTATTTATAAATTATTTTAATACACTGTTGAATATCAAATATTATATTTATATACATTTTAAAAACTGTTGTTTGTTCAAATTTAATATTATCTATAGGTATAGAAAATAATATATTTGTTTTAATAACTAAATAAACATAATTATACGTGCAGGTAAATGATTGATATTACCTTAAAGTAAAATAGAAATAATTGAAAAATAAAACTTCAATTGAGTGTTACACTCGATATACAGATTAACACCTAATGGTGTTTAATAAGCTCAATATCATTCAAGAAAAACTAAGAATAATATATTCATTCTAAATTATATATAATTGTATTAATTTAACATTTTTTATATTAATTATTAGTAAAATTCAACATTTATGTTATTATTATTATTACTAAAATAATATACGTGTGTTCAATTATTTTATAGATGGTATAATAAAGTACACATTTACTTTGAAAATCCATACTCATTTCAGAATTATTTATTATTTGAATATCATATACAAAAAATGTTTAGACATATTTTTTCTTAACAGACGTCTGCATTTGTTATCCAAATATATTTCTATGTAGGTATGTAGCATCATTTTTTAAAATAATAAATAGTCAGGAAAATGAATGTAATTTTACCCATATTTTACCTTTTTATGGGAAAATAACACCGACTGTTTTTTTTTAAAAATATTGCGTTTTGAATTTTTATTTTTCGTATGGTTTTAGATTTATAAATATTTAATACTTATGACAACATACATTTACAATAATCAAATCAAAATTTGAATTTTTAGATAAATTTGTATCTACTATTTAATTATATCAGACGAAATTATAAGCTAGGGTCATAATTCTTGTATTTCAATCGTTACGATTATTATTTACGCTTTTTTTTTAATGTGTTTATTGTATTACATAAAATGTAAATAATAAAGTTATATTGGAGAAAAAAGACACTTTCTTATTATTAGATTTTAATTTTTCTATCGTTAAATAATGGTTATAACTTCATAATATATCATCTTTGATTTATGAAATTTTATGAAATTGCGATTTTGAAATCGGCTTGATCTCATCTGGAACCACAGTTGCGGTCACCTCTAGCATACAATCTTCATTGTCTTCCTTCGTTAACAGCGGAACCCATTCGTCCGTCACCACGACAGTAGCATCGGTATAAATGCAGTGATGGTCCACCGCCACTGCATGCCAGTCGGCCCGCTAATCGATTGGCTGCCACAAAAAACACTTATTATGCATAACGGTTTTCCAAGCTATATAAAAATAATTGTATGATTTAATTAAAAATTCATCATGAATATCGACGCTAACGTATATATATGTTACCGGCAATATGGATAATACAGGTATTTTGTAAAATGCCTAGACAATTTGCAAAATGCCAATTTTTTTTTGGCAATGTACAAACAATTTTATTATATGTTATATTACATTAAGATTTTTATAATTATTATACATTATTATTCATATAACAGACAAAATTTAATTTTTATCTATTATTATATTATTACTATAATAAAAATATTTTACTTAAACTTCTATTTAATTATTATAAAATGTTGTAGAAAAGTGACATTTTGAAGTGCACAAAATATTATTTTTAAGGCAAATACACTTTTTATTTTGACACTTGGACTTACAAATACATTTTAATAACCCTTGACCAATTCTTATGGATTGCATTTTTATCAACTCATTATACTATTCATCAGATAAAAAACTAGTAATAGTGACAAATTTTTAAAAATATTTTGTAGTCTATTAAAAATTTGACTTCATATAAATCGTATCCATAGTTGCACACCATAACAAGACACGAAAATTACGATAAAAATGACGATATTGTAATTATTAGTATGTTCAATATTGTACCTCAGAATTATTATTATAGAAGTAAAAGAATCTTAATTGCATGAAATCGTCTTCGCACTTTTATGATAAACGGTAAGTAAAGTCGTTGGTAATAGGCGTGCCCAATTTTGTTTATATTCATCATATTGCCTACGCCACTTTTAGCATTATACATAATACCTAGGTAAAGCTCGTATTATGTATATTGTCGAGTGATTTTTAGCATTTTGCAAAATATCGGATTATCCATATTGCCAGTAACATATATATACCTATATATATTATATACACTTTCATAAACATCAAATATAAAATAAAAATATAACAATTACATTTCTAGTCTTAAAATGTTATACATACCTATGCATTTTATCATTTTTCTTAGTCGAAAGAAACATATTTTTTACAAATCGAGCATTTCTTTGGACTGTAAATTATTTACTTAATATTTTTCATGATTTGTTACACCACAACTAACGTTACTCGCCATTGTCTAAATGGAATTACTTTCAAAGTACACTATTATACTTTAAGTCTGATTAAATGCGTTGACTGTTTTTATGTCAAAGTGTATTGTGATTCAATAATCCATGAAACCGTTTTAGTATACATATTCTCAATGTTATCTGCAATTACAAAATAAAATCTGGAATTTGTTGATTTTTCGATACATCCAAGAACATTATGTTTTTTTATTACGATAACAATTTATAAGAGATTGAAATCATAATCGAATCACTTGGGTTCAAATATTAAATAAAGAATTATAATCGTAACAATAGTTTAATTTTTAATGAATTCTCATAATCGTAATTTGAATTTAAAATACATGATTATAAAAATAAGTATGGCCCTTATATATGTATTTGCAGAATTTATCTTAATAGATATACTGTACTGATCGCGTGTTCATTCATAGGCTTTGTTCAAACCATGTCAAAACACAAACACAAAATTTGAATGCATAAAAATACTCCAAAGAACTTTTCACAACATCATTGGCATCGCTCTATTATTCTTAATTTGCTATTCAACTGACACTGAAGATTATGTAATTTTCTATTGACTTCTAGAGTACTAATTTTTAATGATTCTGTAATACTTTCTATACATTTTCTGACTTGTCTCTATATTTATCTAATGTAAAATTCCATAGTTCGGGAGACGACTCCAGAAGTTCAATTAGATTGTACAAAATATCCTTGTCCCATACAACATCACATATCACAGACAGAATTACGAACAAATATGTATAAAAAAAATATAACATGTATTCAAACAATAAAAATCAAATGACCGTGGTCTATTAGTCTATTTAACTAGGAGAATAATTTTGAATTAATAATGTAAAATAAAATATGTGAAATGTATTTTTTTTATGATTTTTCAAGTATCAGCTACTTAGGTTATTAACTTAGGCCATTTTTACCATATATAATTTTTTATAAATTGACAAAAAACAAAAAAACAAAAAACAATATTAAAACATAGATATAATAGTATTTTGTATAAATGTGTAATTGTATGTTTAATATAAATACGTGTTACAGTATGACACTAAATGTATTATAAGTGAATTTTTTTGGATAAATATTCTTTCAAATTGATTATTATGTAGGTAGTACTGTGTATAATATATATATATATATTATAACAGCGTGACGGTTGTCAGATGGTACACCGGTGATGTCACGCGTGCACGCATGTTCGCTGTTTAATGCGGAAGGAAGGATCGGATAATTTTGAAAGTACGACTATTTTAGTTTTAATTTCTAATATTACATACAGGTATAGAAAAAAAAATTGTTTTTTGTTTTACAGTCTTTTAAAAACTTGCTTAGGCGGAGAATCATTATTTTTAGTAAAAATCTATGAACTCGATATCACTTCCAAGAATAATCTATAATAAAACACAATGTGTTTTATTATTTTTGTATTATTATTAATTTTTTTTTTCATTTGTGTTTAGAACTTGCTCTAAACAATGAAACTCAACGATTTTAGAAATGCAGTAAAAATTATTCATATATTTAGATTTGACAATACGGATAAGTAATTAAATAATAATACAATATAGATATGATAGCGTTCCAAAAGTATATAGAGATCATTATAATACTAATAATATAAACAATAATAATAATAATAATAATAGTCATAATTATAAAATTAGAAATAAGGAATGAAATTAGGGAACTAATGTAGAATACGAGCTTATAGAAAGGGTATACACGATGAAAGCAGTTGTTTTAATCTGTGGTTAATTCAAGGAGAATTATTTGATAACAGTTTCAAATCTTCAAAAAATTTGGAAAAAAAAAATTTCAGCCGTAGTTAAAAGTAGTGTGATGGCAGTGTGATTGGCGTTTTTGTTTCTGATTAGAACTAAGACCGGGAGCAACAATACTTGGTATATTAAAATTGGTGGCTGAATGATGATAGAGTTTATTATATCGATATTTACCGCGATTTTCGATGCTATTCTTATACACGAGACGTATTTTATACGAGGTTTTTTGTGCCCTTGTGTATAGAGCGCATTTGACAGGTTCTGATGGAGATTTTGTGCAGTCCCAAGAGTAATGATTATATCCGCATCTGATACAGCAAGGGAACTGGTGGCAATATTTACTTGTATGAAAATAAGCTTGGTAGTCATACCTTGGAGGTATGAGTTTTTTCTTTGACAACACTATTATATTTTAATGTGGAGGAGCAAATCTATTTGAGAATTTTACTATTATTATTGGCAACATTTAAATCAATCCGAAATAAAGGTAGTGGACGATTTATGATACGACATACATGCAAGCGCGGATCCAGGGAGGTCATGACCCCCCTCCCCCCGTGAAATCTACATTTTATGGTCAATGTAATTAAATGAAATACCAACAAACGCTTAAATTTTATGAAGTAATTTGAAAATATAACACGGGCTAGATAAAAAAAATGTACGTTAAAAATAAATAAAAAAATAAAGTAAAAAAGTTTTGTGGTACTTGTAGTCAGATCTAGGATCCTAGGTATATATTTAAGATACATACCTGAGATATAATTGTATCTTGTATCTAGTATATTTTTATGTTTAATGATACTAGTTACATTCAGAAATTATGTTTTATTTATTTACATAATAATTTTCCTAATTTCCCAATAGCTAGATATAAAATTTGTAGGCTTGAAGTTAGTAATTTACAATGTAAGATAAATTAAAATAACTATTGCCTGCTGATAATATATCAGGTTTATAATGCGTATTTTGAACGACACGTATATTATTAAAAAACATGGATAACCAGAATAATTCAATATTTAATATTCCAAAATGCTTAAATGGCACATGTTATACTATTTAAAATTCGGATAAAATATTCAATATAAATTTTATTGTAAAATATGAAATATATAAAGAAGAAGAAAAAAACAGAACTATTTCACTATTTCAGGAGCAATAAATTCCACATCAAATTTTTGATTACATATGAAAGAAGCATTTAAAATATATAAATTATAATATTTTTATTATAATATAATGTAGAATTATTTCTAATAATTAATTTAATTACGTTTAATAGAACAAAATTACCACGAAGCTTAACGAAGTTAAAAGATCAATATTACCCAGGACCTTCCCTGTCAAAACCCTAAGAAAATATGAGTCAGCTATTAACCGTCTCAGGATCGGATACACACGTACATTTAATGAAAAAAGAGGACCTTCCCCCACTTGCATATGCTGTAGGGTCCCTCTTACCTTCATACTCACTGAATGTAGAGCATGTAATACGGAGAGAGTTGAACTGCGGATATCCCTCTACCTAGATGAAATACTAAGTCCTGAACCAGACAATGTCGTCAAACTCAGTCAATTTCTAACAGAAACACATCTTATCAACCTCTTGTAACCAACCTCGTCACTAACCTTCCATACAAAAAGAATCACACTGATGAAAACCCACTAGTATACAAATCTATACCATATTATACTTATAATTTATCTTTTGTTTGAATTTATAAACTTATGTATTTTAATATTTATTTATGTGTTTATCCCATTTTATTTGTACATTAAGTCACTAAGTGATACATTATAACGTCCAAAGGCAATAGAAGCCACAAATTATATTCTAATAAAAAAAAAAATGTAGAATTCTTAAGTCACAGAACTGTATAGTAAATATAAATATAGAATTATTATATTATTATTGACCAATAAATTATCTTGTATTTTGTATTTAGATACTTTGTTTGAGGTATCTTAGCTCTGCCTATAGTTGACTAGTTACTTAAACTTTCAGCGAGAATCAGCTTATTCCACTGAGTAAGTTACTTAAGCTCTTCCGATTGTTAAACATTCACGAAATCGTTGAGCTAGGCATGTCATCTTCTTGCTACTAAAACATGATTCAAATTATGCTTAAGAGGTTTGAATCTACATATTTAACAGCGACCAAGAAATTTCAAAGATTTGGTTTAGATCTGCAGTTATTTTAACAGTTGAATTTTTTCAGGCGATATCTTTGTTTTGTTTTCAGTAAAACGAAAACTATATAGATTTTATGGTAGTCAATAAATTACATAGGTAATATAATAATTTATGTGCATACCTATTAAATTTAATAATATATGAGTGTAATAATAATTAAGATGATTATAAAGAACATTATTAATGATAAGATTATAAAAAATACACTTCGAATTACCAGGTGTTAAACGGATGAAACTTCAAATTTTCGCGTTGGTGGCTAGTTTTTCCTACAATCTTACTACAAATTACTGAATGTTCTTGAATGCACTGTTTTTATTTGAATTACTGTGAGATTTTTAAAGGAGCAAAAATGATGTAAATACACCAAATTAATTTAGTTTAAAATTGGTATTTATTAAAAGTTCTTGTTTTTCTACCATTTTCTATTTGGTTTTTCTTCTACATTTACTGACTAATGTAAATGATTAAAAATCAAAATCTAACACCTTGAATATTCAATTTGGGTTCTATTAACTACTAAGAAATATTTTAAGCTTAAAAATTAGTCAATAATTTCTGGTTTACGAGTTGTCCACAAAAATATCATCAATGACAACCGCTAGGAACGTCAAAAAATTTTTTTTTTTAATAACAGGATCGAGGAACGAGTTCCTTTTTAAAAGGAATTCTCTATACAAATACAATAAAAAAGATAATTCTGATAAAAATAAATTATAACCATATTCTATAACATAGAAGTAAAACGTTTTTAGACTATAATATTATAAAAAATCTTAATTGTTATTAACCTCTTTGCATGATCATGTCATCATGACGAAATAGAAATAATTAAAAAAATCTGTATATATAAAACAGTAAGCTGATTGACTGCTATCAACGCACAGCTCAAACCATTGGACGGATCTGACTGAGATTTAGCATACAGATAGCTATTATGATGTAGACGTGCGCTAAGAAAGGATTTTTCGAAATTTTGAATTTAAAGGGTTGAAATCGGTAAAAGAAAATTTTTACATGTAATTTGTATTATTAAACCTAACTAACCTAACCTAAAGGTCCTAAGTCGGCGTTAACGCGTTGTCGGCGGATAGAGCCGCGGTAGCACCGTTGTCGTTTATTGTGATTATCCTACATATTATATTTATAGCTGCGCGTGACGAAAACGTTTGCTTATATAAAATGTATGCCCCCCACGTGCTGTAAATTATATGTACTTGGCCGCTTTGTCGTTGTCGTTGTCGTAGCGATAGCCCAGCGTTCGATAAAGGACCAGTAAACGGTTTCGGTATACAAGTGTAATATAAAACAGCTTACTGCCGGATTAGTTTTTTAGATTTTTCCGTGTTCGGTTTTTGTTGTTAGGAGGATTAATTTAACGTTGTTTAATTTAATTACCTAAGAAATGGCTAAAGAAAGTCTTTTAGTTAATGGAGAACTTGAACAATATACTGTTGTCCCCATTGTTGGCGATGGTGCCTGCTTATTCCGAGCTCTTTCTTTTTTAATACACGGAACACAAGACAATGCGATGGAGGTGCGATCACTAATTATTGGATATGTGGTGAATGACTGGACCAAGTTTTCATTTATGTCCCACATTAGAAATGGTAATAATTACTCAACGGCCAATGAATATTATGCTGATATGATAAAAAATGAAACTTATGGTGGGCTTTGTGAGTTTATAGCAGCGGGATGTATATTTCCATTTAATTTTAAAGTTTATCGAAATGGTATCTTATACACGGAGTCCAGATCTAATGATTGTCCAGTAAAGCTTTTACGATTTGGACAAGATTTGCCCAATGGAAATTTTGATGCTTATTTTTTTACTGCGACAGAAAACAATACTCAGAGTCGTATAGAGAAACTGGTCGATGAACGCGAACATTCACCTATTGCATCATCAGTACACAGTAACATTTCTGCAAACATTTCACTATCCCAATCAAGTGAAACAGATCAATCTATTTCGTCCTGTCGAAAACGAAGGGCTAGATTTACTAATTACACAAGAAAAAAATAAATAAAAAAAGCACAAAAAAAATATAGACAGAATCAAACTGAATCTAGATATAAGGAAAATACTACTATGCGTCTATGAAAAAGCAAGGTGCATTCAGGTATGGCATATGATCCAGATATTGTATACAGAACTGACACCTGTGTAGCTTTGGGTTCTATGACCTATAAGTGTCAGTAGTGCAACGCTTTAAAGTGGAAAGATGAGACACTTGATATGTGTTGTAGCGCCGGAAAAGTACAACTTGAGAGGTTAAAACAACTACCTGAACCTCTCTACAGTTTGGTTAACGCTCTGCACCCAGATTATGTGCAATTCATGAACAATATTCGAAAATATAACGCCTGTTTTCAGATGACGTCATTTGGTGGTAAACAGGTAACAGCAGACGGTTTCTTACTGACTTTTAAAGTTAAAGGACAGGTCTACCATTTAATTGGAAGTATATTACCTGAACCCGGACAGGGCACACAGTACCTTCAAATCTATTTTGTCGGTGAAGACGAACGAGAAGTAAATATTCGGTGTTCTAAATATCCTAACTTAAAACCCAATTTAATTAAACAACTGCAGGATATGCTACATCAAGTGAACCCATATATAAAAGATCTGAAAAGTGCCATCGATAAAATACCTCCTTCAGAGTCATTTAAAGTTGTAATACATGCAGATAAAAAACCACCAGAAGAACATAGAGGCAGGTATAATGCACCAACGGCAAATTAAGTTGCTTTAGTGTTAGTAGATCAGCAGTTTGATCGAAGAGACATCATCCTCGAAAACCGAAGTAACTCACTTCACCGTATCAGTGAGATACATCGAGCATACAACGCACTGCAGTATTCTTTAATGTTTTGTTGGGGGGATGATGGGTATGCAATCAATATACCACAACGCGATCCAAAAACCAAGTTACCGCTTAAAAAAACTGTCTCTGCATCAAGTTTTTACTTATATAGAATAATGGTCAAAGAAGGGGAAGACAACTATTTAGTTAATTATCGTTCTCTTTTAAGTCAATATTTGGTAGATGAATACGCCAAAATTGAAACTGACAGATTAAATTACATCAAAAACAACCAAGCCAAATTGCGTGCAGATAGTTATATTCATTTAAAAGATGCGATTGGACGACGAGACATAGAAGCTAATCAGTTAGGCCAAATGGTTATACTCCCGTCAACTTTTACTGGTGGGCCAAGGTACATGCACGAAAGAACACAAGATGCTATGACCTACGTTAGACATTATGGTTGTTATGACCTTTTTATGACTTTTACATGTAATCCTCGCTGGGACGAGATAAAAGAGCTCTTACTTCCCGGTCAAAGATCATATGATCGACATGATATAATTGCAAGAGTGTTTCGGTTAAAAGTCAAAAAGACCATGAACTTATTGACAAAAGGTAAAATATTCGAAGAAGTGAGATGCTATATGTATTCAACAGAATGGCAAAAGAGAGGTCTACCACTTATTCATATTCTTTTATGGCTTCAGCATCACATTACTCCGGATCAAATCGACAATGTTATTTGTGCTGAAATACCCGATCCCATACGTGACCCTCAGCTTCACGAAATCGTTAAATGTAATATGATTCATGGCCCTTGTGGGTGGCTGTTTTAATCGAAATTCACCATGTATGAAAGATAACGCGTGCAGTAAACATTACCCCAAGAATTTCATTAAGGAAACTCAAACTGGTGATGACGGTTATCCGAAGTACAAGAGACGTTCAACCGATGACGGTGGATTTCCCGTCAATATCAAAGGCGTAGATATAGATAATCGTTGGATAGTTCCTTATAAACCAGTACTGTTAAGAACATGTAACGCTCACGTCAATGTGGAATATTGCAGTTCAGTGAAGTCCATAAAATATGTGTGCAAATACGTAAATAAGGGCTCGGATCAGGTTTCATTTGCCTTAGAAAATGAGAAAGACGAAATAAAAACTTACGAAAGTGGACGATATATAAGTTCATCAGAAACCGTGTGGCGAATCCTTGAATTTCCAATTCATGAGCGTTTCCCTACCGTTGTTCACCTTGCTGTCCATTTAGAAAATGGACAAAGGGTTTACTTTAATGAACAAAACCTACATGACAGAGTGAATAGTCCTCCTACTGGTACACTTCTCTCATTTTTTGATTTGTGTAAAGTGGATGACTTTGCGAAAAATTTGCTTTACCCAGAAGTACCTGCATATTACGTTTGGGACAAAAAATAGTTCCAAAGAAGGAAGAGAGGAGTAAACGTTGTTGGTTGGCCAGATATCAAAAGAGAGCACACTCTGGGTAGAGTTTATACTGTTCATCCAAACAATACAGAATGTTATCACCTTCGTATGCTTCTACATGAAATCCGGGGCCCGATTTCGTTTGAAGCGTCGAAAACTGTAAATGGTTAAGTATATCCCACTTTTAAATCCACGTGTAAGGCTCTAGGGTTACTTGAAGATGATGAACATTTGTACGCAGCACTAGAAGAGGCATCACTTTGCCAATCTCCGCATATGATACGGGATCTATTTACGATTATATTAGTGTTCTGCCAAGTAACAGGTCCCTTATATCTTTGGGACAAATTCAAAGAATACTTATCTGAAGATTTTAAAATACGATTAGAACGACAGGATTCCGTGGATGCAGAACACTTAGCGGACGTAGCGTTGAACAAATGCTTATCGGTAATAGAAGATTCAGTGTCAGCATTAGGTGGTCGGCCACTTAAAGAATATGGCTTACCTCAGCCAAGCAAATCTGAACAATTTGATAATAGAGAGTATCTCAAGGAAACAAGTTATAACTTAGTAGCCTTAGAAGACGTCGTAAGAAACAATGAAGAATCTCTGAATGACGAACAAAAGTTTGCTTACAATCAAATTATTACAAGTGTTAATAATAATGAGGGTCGAATATACTTTTTAGATGCTCCAGGTGGAACTAGAAAAACTTTCTTAATCAATTTGATTTTAGCGAAAGTTAGAAGTACTCGCGACATTGCCTTAGCTGTAGCATCTTCTGGAATCGCAGCAATTGGAAATTGCAAATGAATAGCAATTGGAATCGCTCATATTCATGATAAGCCTATGGAATGGTTGTGTGAACGTGCTATACTCACTCCAAAAAATGACCAAGCGGCGGCTATCAATGATACACTGCTGATGTCTTTTGAAGGGGAAGAAAAAGTATATACTTCTATAGATACGGTGGTCAACATGGACGATGCAACTAATTATCCGGTTGAATTTTTAAATTCATTGAAACCACCGGGCATGCCATATCATAGGCTTATTCTGCGGGTGGGCACACCTATTATGTTGTTGCGAGATTTGAAACCGCCTAAACTGTGCAATGGGACCAGGCTTAAAGTCAAAGCTTTACATCGCAATATAGTAGAAGCCACAATTTTAACAGGATGTGCAAAAGGGGAAACTGTGTTTGTACCACTAATCCCTTTAATTCCGAATGATCATCTGTTCGAATTTAAACGATTACAGTTTCCCCTGAAAGTCTGTTTTGCAATGACTATAAACAAGTCTCAAGGCCAAACTCTTAAATTTGCAGGAATAGATTTGCGAGAAAACTGTTTTTTACTGGGCAGTTCTACGTAGCTTGCTCACGTGTAAGCTCACCCAGTAGCTTGGTGATTTTGTCGCCTACTAATAGATCAGTGAAGAGCATTGTCTACATAGAAGTTTTGTAGATAACATATTGAAAAACTATTAGTAAAACATTTATTTTGAACCTTTAGTGCTAAAATTTATCGTCAACAAAGCTTCTGCCGCCAAAAGCTATAACTTATGGAATAGGTTATGATAATAATCGTTATCTTAAAAACTAAATTAATATGTATAAAATATTATTTCAAAAATATTAATTAATTTAAATTTCAATAGATTTAACAAAATTTAATCTTAGCAGGTTACATACATTTATATACTTAAACCCGGCAACAACGAGTAATTCATACATAGTGAGTGTTTGTTCGTTTAATACATTTTAATAATCTGTTACCTGAGTAGCTGAGAAAAATGTATGTGTAGATAAGATGGTTCTAGTCGGTGAAAAAAAATCGTTTTTATACTCTTCGTAGTGACAGAATTGCGAGACTTTGGATTATCCGATGATTGCAACAGCAGCTACTGCAATATCTTCTGAATCATTCATTTTATATAAGTTAATATTGTAATTAATTAATTATAATATTAAAGTAAGTAAGTTAATATTGGAAAAAAATACGTTCGATATCGTGTCGGTCGATTAGTCTACACAGTAAAAACAAGTTGAAAATTGAACGTGTCGATCGACACTGTCAATTGGTCTTCTCGATCGGCACCATTCGACATAGTGTGGACGCGGCTTGATGAATTTCTTAACCGTTCACTCAACTCCAAACTTTTACGACCACGGAACCCTTAAGAAATATTTTTTGTTTCGTGAAACCCCAACATCTCTAACTCCAACTTAACACCAATTCTGTAATTATTTGTATTTGCATTTATTTTTGTTACTGAAAAACCAATAATCCAAAAAATGTTATAAAGATAGCTCATGATAATTGTTTACTACAATTACTGTTCCAATATTCAGGTACATCCCGCGGAACACACTTTGGGAATTGCTGCTCCAGCGGAGGAGTTAATAAATGTTAGGATTTTTACACAATTAAAATCGCACCCACCTTCTAATAATAACTCATGGCAAAAATAGTTTAATACCGAGAATAGTTATTCTCGGGATAAAATTTTCTGTAGAATAGAAATGTGTCATTCCGGGTAAACTTATCCTAGAACTAATATTCTTAGTATAGTAATACTTGGTATGATAAAAGACACTGTGGAATAGGCCCTAAATATGATTACCATTAGCTGACCGGGTCATCGACTGGATACAGACCATTTATCTAAAAATAAATGTAGATAATCATTTCCTGGATAATAATCACTACATTGCATATTATGTCGAGTTCGTTTTGATCTACAATTATTTGTTAATTTATGTGATCTTGACTTATTAATTTTCGTTTTTTGTGATCAATAATTATATATTTTTTTTAATTTTTACAATATTTCTTTAATGAGTGAAAAAAAATATATAAAAGATTTCAATCCACGACTTTATGTGAAGATTTAGTTGAAAGATCACCGTTCAGCAGTTTTAGCTCCACGAGGTAAGGAACGACAAGAATCAAACGATGAAAATAAGTTGCAGAAAATGTTTTTTACCAATGTATTTTCTGAATATTTTTAATATTTGTAAAGATTGACGAAATAATTTACGTAATATAAAGAGGATATATAAAAAATCTGGTTTAAAATTTTTTCCATATCATTGACACGCTATTTATCGGCTTTACCCCAATAAACCATAAAATAAATATTTTTATTGTATTAAATGTTTATATTTGATGATACGAGTATAGTATACCAGGAGTGACCAGCGAGAAGCGTAAAGAGACTCGCGAGCCACAAAATATATTAAGAAATATGGAAGAGCCAAAATGTAAAAAAAAAAAAAGGTCATAGTGTGTAGTCATATATTTATAAATTATAATTGGTAATGCTTATTTATATTTTATTAGTTGATAAATTTATTGTTAATTTGAAAATCCTTTTACATTTATTTTATTTAGATTACCTAGTAATTTAAGTCAATTTTACAAAAATAACTATGTTTCAAATCTATTTTACTAAAAGAAATATTTTTCCATGACAATTCTTTTAAGTTTCAAACGTTAATCGATTTCTGTTACGTTATTCGATATTAATTTTAATCCATTTTTGTTTGTTTTGTTATCTGTTATCCGTTATCAATCGCTTATCGTTTACCGATATATTATCGGTTATCGATTTCAATCGTTTTTTGAATAGTTTAACGTTATCAACAAGCACGTAACCAGACATATTTCTATAAGAGGGCCAACATTTTTTGGTCCCTTTCTGTAGTTGTGTTTATCAAATGTGCGTTCGATATCCGTATTTGGAATTCCTAGTTTTCAATCTATTAATACACGTACTATCTCAAATCACGTCTTATCTCAAATTGATTGTTAAGTAACGAATATTTATAAAATAGAATCTCAGAATTTAATTTTTGTTATACGATCATTAATTATATGGAATGGGCGTATGTAAACTCCGCCACAAGTACCTTTTTTTACTGCAAACTCCGCCAGTGAAGAAAATCTAGTAGTAGTATAAAATTAATATGACATATTATTAAAAGTAATACGTAATAAGTAATAATAAGTGAATATTATTATTATAATATTATATAATATCCAGTGGTGTATTTACGAGGGTGGTCCAGGGGTACTGGACCCCCCCCCCCAGAATCTCTCCAAAAAATACAAAATAAACTAAAATTCTTACATATTTTCAAAATTGGCTATGTTAAACATTCACAGGGAAGTTGAAATTGCTGTTGATGAAGTGATAGAGGAGTTGGCCAAAAAATCGAGACGACTGGAATTTATTTTATAACAATACTTTATAATATATAGTGTTAAATACAATATATAGGTATATATAATATTACATACAGTGGCATAGAAAAAAAAATTCGGGGGGGGGGTTTATACGTAAGAAAAAAATTAATTAGCACAAATAAAAAGGTTTCTAGAGCTGAAAAATCCGAATTAATAAAATATAATAACACTGAATATCTGAATATTTTTGGGGGGAGGGGTTATCTTCAAGCTCTCCCACTCGTTGCTACTCCCGTTCCACAACAGAAATTGGACGGATTATAAATTAAAATAAAATTGAATTATACAATATTACCTACAAACATACATATATATTAAAATTAAATGAGGATTAGATATTGTAATGTTTCAGAAATAATAGGTTTATTTATACTTATAACATTTTCCTAAACATTAAATATTTTGGAGGGTTTGTCCCCCCCCCCCTCGTTACTACACCACTGATTACATAAGACTATACGATTATTACATTATATATTTAGTTCAACTTCCTCGATAAACTGCATAAGGACGTAACTATTACAATATAATATAGAGCTTATATTAATTATTAAATTATTAATTATGTATAAACTGTGGACCCCTCCAGAAAAAATTGAAAATACGCCACTGATAATATCATACCTCTATTTTATTTCACTAGACGCATATTTTATATTTTGGTTATATTTTTAGTTGTTAAATAAAACCAATAAATTGCCTCGTTGACCAGTAATTAATTTTTTATTATTACTTTGTTGCCACATATTTCGTTCAATATAAAATATACACGGAAACACGCAGACAACGAATGATTATGTTCGTCAAAGTATACTTTACGTATACCTTACCTACTGCCGATATCATCATTGGAAATACTAATTTCAGATAATATGAATATTAAATTATTAATAAATGAATCAATGTGGATATATATTCACCCTGAAATGAATCGAACCATGACAATAGTTTATCAATTTCGACATACATTATCGCAATAGATGTCAACGTATTTAATGTAAGAAGGCACATGGCAATATGAGCACTGAGCAGGTAAACAAAATTAAACTAGAGGAGTTTACACATACCCATTAAAAGTAAGAAAAAAAAACTGGTGGAGTATACACTAAATCTTTTATTATTTTTTTATCTTAACCGATATTCAGGAACGCTCACAGAAATGTAGCTCAGGGGAGGCAAAAAAATTGTAAGTACCTAAATACTTATAGGAAGATTTACTGCTACATATTTCATCTACTCATATTTTGTATTACTATCAATAATAATTTTTTAAAAATCAAAACTCATTTAAGTTTATATAAAATTACATTATTAGTTATTAGTTTTAATATTTATAAGAAAAAATATAATAAAGTTTAAGCAAAAAACAACTTTATTTGATTGAATTCGCATCATATTTTATTATTTTATTCAAAAAGTAATGACAATCTCCTTTTGTTTGAAGCAAATAAATTAATTGAATCATTATTTGTTGATTAAAAAAATGTTAGATACTTGTTAGATACAAGGATTGTCAAATAGTCACTGAATACCCAAGATCAGCTTTATGTAAAATAACTTCCAATTTTGTAAGTGACGCGAAAATCTCAGGGGGGGCAATGGCCCCCACTGGCCCCCCCATCCGGGCGTCCCTGCCGATATTCTAGCCGGAGTTTACAATCGCCCATATGGAATATACATTCAGGATTTAACCGGTTTGGGACAACTAAACACCATAATATTTAAAAATCAAAATGAAGGGGCCAGGCCCCCTAAGGCCTCCCCCTTGACGACGTGCCTGGTTATCAAAACGTTTTGGTGTCTCTATTACAGCCTACGTTGGTCGTTTTCAATTAATTCAAAAATATTAATAACTATATAATAACTTCCGCGATTTCCGATAGCCCTGATAGTGATGGGTTTTGCTTAATAATTATAAAAATTATTTTTAAGTCTTTTTACATATAAAGTTATACACAAAATAAAAAATAAAAATTTTTTTTATGTAGATATGTGACATAAAAAATAGGAGGAGGGGCTAAGATAAAATAAGAGCTTATTTTTTTTTTTTAGAGGTGGCAAAATTTGATTTTGCCTACTGTACTATTTTTGTTTGGGCCGGCCCTGAGTACCATACACTTGTGTGCATTATATAGTCACAGTGTAGATAAATTTATGTTAAGACTGTAGATACTAAAAATAGTGGGAGATAAAAGTGGTTTACTACATAGAGCATAGGTTCCCAAAGTGTGCGCCGCAATATCTAACATTTTCCTCATGATTAGTCATGCCATGACTTAGAGAAAGGCGCCCTGAAAAAACCTTGGATCAAAAAGGGCGCCTTGAGTCGAAACATTTTGGGAAACACTGACATAGAGCATGGTTTACTTTTATTAAATAATTATAACATGGATTAAAATATAATGTAATATTTTTATTAATAGATAATATATTTTAGATAAAATACCATTAATGAAAATTACACATATTAAAACATACAAATTTGTGATTTTAGATAGATATTTATTGATATTATAATATTTCTTAATTTATTATTTTAGTCATTATTCATAGGTAATGCATAATGATGAATATTATGTCACATTTACACTAGGTAAATATTATCTGATATTACGACTAAATAGTAAATAGAGTAGTATTCTAACTCTATGGATTACTGTGATATTCTGATAGTGTAAAGCAAACATATGATTTGCCATAGGTACGTGAAAAATAGAAAGTAACAGTTAGAGTTGCATCACTGTTATTTTCACTGTGATTTTTTTTTATCACAGTAGCAATATATTGATAAATATTTTTCACTGTTTAACATCACACGAGCGCTTTCCCGCAGTAAGGCATTTGGCTGGCTTATCATAAAAGAACGTTATCATAGTTTTATAAATTCTTTACATTTGATGAATATAAATTATAATGTCCTAATGACATATATACGACGAAATATAATAATTTACTATAAATAAAATGTATAAAAAAATTTTCATTTATTTTTTAAATTAATTTTGCTCCCCCTAGAAAAATGTCTGGGAACGCCATGTTTGCGTCATATTTAGGCAATATTAAAAATTTGGTAAAAATTAAAAGCAATATAATAATAATGAGCCTCTCTCAATACTTTAAGTGGGCCGGCCTAAGGCCGGACACATATTAGGGTGAGCCAAGCACATCCTGGCCCTCCTTTGGCTACGTGCCTGCCTACCTACCATATACATTAGGACATAATATAATTTATATTCATCAAATGTAAAGAATTTATAAAACTATACATTATAATATACCTAATAGTATATTAATATATACCTTTTAAATCAAAAGAGATCTTCTAGCTCCTACATTTTACATTTTACATTTTACATTTACATTTACATTTACATTTTAAAATTTGAAGTTATGATAACGTTCTTTTATGATAAGCCAGCCAAATGCCTTACTGCGGGGAAGCGCTCGTAACATCACTATTAGAGAATAATATTATCATTATGATTTAATCGATAGTTACAGCGACAGTGTAGTCAATGCGGGCGATAATAAAAGTATTTTTTCGGCATCCATGCGAACGCACTGTAATTGTGTTTTGTTTATCGTGTCACTCGACTCGTTTGCGGTACTGTGTGTATTATTTTCGTGCGATTGACTTTTTTTTTATCTTCTAATAAGTTTTACGTGTTGTATTGATTTTGTCGGCTTTTTAAAGTTTACGCCGTCATCTCCGTCCGATTCCATATAGGCTTCGGGTATGGTTATTATTGTACTATTATTCCGTCTCGTACCGTGTGTATTGCGTCTTATTGACGTGTGCACACTTCGTGCGCAGGCATCGCGTCGCCCTCTTCTTTGATCGTAATATGGTATTCGGTATTTTCAGGTGCTTTCGGAAATGGCCAGCCCCTCACCAAACTCAATGGGACCTCCGGGGCCCAATCACCAACCACCACCTCCGACTCAACAGCAACCACAACAGCAGCAGCAGCAACAACAGCAGCCATCACCACAAGTACAACAGCAACAACCAACAACCGCTCCTCAGCCATTACCGCCACAAAATTATTCCCCAAGCCAACCGGTCCCGCCTGCATCTCCAAACATGCAGCAGGGTACACAAACTTTTCCACCTCCAGGCATTTCGGTAAGTTTCAATCTCTAACTTGTTTTCGATTCATAATTATAATTAATATGGTTTATTAGAATTATGGATTTTGTTTATATATAACTACTAGATATCTAGTTTAATAATATACATTTTTTGGAAGTGTCTAAGGTCTGATCAATTTATAAAATCAAAGTAAAAACAATTTTAATCTTAATATAGAATATTCGAGTGATTTTCTCTTCAAATTTATAATCCAGTGTTTTAAAAAAATATATATATAAAAAAAAAATGACACTAAAATAACATTTAATTAAGATAACTTATGATTATATAAAAATGCGAATATTTTGTAAATGTACTATTTAAGATTATTTCTTATAGTACTATACTATTTCTTGATAGTGATTAAAGAAAAATATTTTTCGTTTTTAAAGAAGTATGTAATAATAATGTACATTATTATAATCAAATATTAATAATTAGTATAACTGTATATCAATTATTTTAATAAATCAGTTGATTTTACTACTTATGTGTTTTGGTAGTTTGTTTCACATATTGTATTTTACTTTTGAAATGTATTTAATTACAATTAATACTTTATTTATTTATTTGTTCATTTCTTATAGAAATTGATATACAATTAGAGTTCATTCAAATTATTTCCATGTAAAAATGTATAGAATATTCTGATTTTATTAACGTATACTCTTACTTTTTATCTTTATTATCAATAACAAAGAATTATAAAAACATGTTTAAAAACTTATTAGTTTTATTTTTCTGATAGATCTATATATTAAGAAATATATTTAAATATTCCATCTTCAAATATCTAGTAATTACAATTCAAATTGATTTCTATTTAATCTGATTATTTTATAAACTGAAAATCTACATAAACTTTAAAGTTAAACCCCATATTTTATTTACTGATTAAAATTAAGTATCATTTTGTAATACTTAAGTATTCTTCAATTAATTTTCTTGTACTTGCAGCAACTATACTTGCATTCATTATATTATTATATTCACCTCCTATAAACAAATTTTAGTAACAAAATATATCATAATTTCAAGAATATTAAAAAAAAAAAAAATTTACCATTTGAATCAAGTACAATCCCTCCAGATTCTTGAAGAATAAGAATCCCAGCTGCAACATCCCAGCATTTTAAATATGTAAAATAACATAGATCAATAGCTCCCATTGCTAAATAACATAGAGTTAATGCTGCTGATCCTAAAGATCTTATCCTATAAAATATATTTTATTTAAGTGTTAATTTATTGTAATATAAGAAAAAAATAAATCATGAATTTATCTTTGGGAATCTACTAATAAATGTTTTTTATTACTATTATTACTTACCCACGACAATTTTTAATTATAATATTAAGATTTTTGTAATGGTATTGTATTAATTTTTCATTATTCAAACATATTATATCATATCCAAACATTGCATTTTGAAGAACTAAAAAACAAAAATTAAAATCATTTTAAAACCTAAATATTCTTTTACATTATTCATTGTATTCAATTTAAGCCACCATAACATTTATTTTTGTAACTTAAATATTTATTTTATCTCTCACTTCAAGTGCAAGTTGTTATGATTACTGTAATTTATAATAATTTTCAAAAAAGAAAGCAAACTTTGATTTTGATTTTATATTGATATGTTTCCAACAAATATTTATAGAATTTATTTTGTGAAATATTTGTATTACATTGTAATGTTGATATTATTATATATTGATATATAACCTATTTTAAGTAACATTTAAAAATTCTTACTAATATGTAGGAAACAGTATTAATTTTACATTAGTAAACCAATTTATGCTTAGAATAGAATTTTAAATATTAATATTAATCCTTGTTTTAAGTTCAGATACAATAGTGATTAATTAATTAAATTTCTGAATTAGTTCATTTTATTTTAATCTAATATTAACATTTAAATAAATTAGGTTGGTACTTTATAAAATATTTGATTACCTTCAGTATTTGTCACTTGTATTTTTTCATTATTCAAGTATGCACCTTTACCTTTTTGAGCTGTAAATAACTGATTCAAAATAGGATTATAGATTATTCCTAACTTTAAATCATTTTCTACTGCTAATGCTAATGAAATACAACAAAATGGAAAACTTTGAACAAAATTGGTTGTTCCATCAATCGGATCTAATATCCATGTAGGTTCGGTGGTCAATACATTATTTGCAGCACTTTCTTCTGCAATAAACCTATTGAAATCAGTTTTTATATAAGTATTTAAAATCATTTATTAACAATTTAAATATTTATTTATTTTTTGTTACTTATGATTTGGATACAGTTTTAGCAAGTTGTCGATTATTGTTTTTTCAATAAGTTTATCATACTGTGTTACAAAATCTTGAGGATTTTTTTTTGTTGATATTTCTTTTGGGCTTGTAAATCCTTTTAATAAAATCTTGAAATTTGTTATAAATAAAATAATTGTTTATATAAATATAATTTTTACTCAACTTACTTCACCTGCCGCCAAAACTATTTTGAGTGCACTATTAAAATATTCTTGATTTGAATTATCAGCCATTGTTTTAAATTGTATTAAAAAATATATTTTTAATGTTAATTGAATGTTAAATTAATGAATCAAATTAATCATACGCACTGAAGAAAAATGTATGTAAGTATGGAAAAAAAAAAGAAAAAAATAATGGTAACTTTATTACATAAATTATATATATTATGTAACATATATCTAGTAATTGTATAGTGTGGCCAGAAAGAAGAAATTAAATCTGAAGAATGTTCAGTGTTGTGTGTTATAGATAAGTGTGTATTATAATCTTTTAAGTAAATTTAATAAACATGTAGTAATTGGTTTATATAATACAATCAAATATTTTTTAAGTTTATAAATAATTGCATTATAATATGTACTTAAAATGTTATTGGTTTTTTTTATTTATTTTTTTTTTTTATTATCAACAATTACAAAAATAGATAACTATAAATCATCATATTTTATTTTTATTAAAATATTGATGACGAATATTTATGTATATATATATTTTAAAACTTTTGTCATTCTAATGACTTAGATTTAAAATTTTTACAAAAGGAAACATATTGTTAAACATCCATATTTTAAAAGTCAGCAAAGTACTAAATTTAAGTAGTATACTAAAATATTAAAGCAAGACAAGTATCATTGATTTTGAAAAAAATATTTCTATTACATTACATCTTAACATTTTAGAAATAATTCTTAATAATGTTAGTTTACTTGATTATATAAAAATATGTTCATTGTATATGTTTTAAATTTGAGGTTCTTAATTGCAAGTATATAATAAAAACAATCTTGTATTGCTTTCCAAATGTTGAAGCATAAAAATATTTAATTTATCATGAATAATTATTGTTCAATCATTTACAATGTTGTAATCATATTTTACCTTTTCATATTAATATTTATAAGTACAATAAAATTGTGAGTAACATTTTTTGGGACTTAACATTATAAAATTATAAAAATAAAATTTTTATCTTACATTTTTAAATTTTTAAATTGTTTGTATTAATGATTAAAAATTTGACTTAACCTGAAAAATTATATCTTTTTTTTTTAAAGATAAACTAGTTTAAATCTGATGCAAAAAATATATTAACTTGTTGAGCGCCCAGGTGATATTTATTTTACTTGATTTAAAAATTAATTTAAATTAGTTTTCAATAAAAATATTTACTTGAAAGTCTGTTAAATTATTTTATGTAAAACTTGATTTTTTTATAGATTAAAATTTTAATATTTAAACTGTTTTAAATATGTATTGTTATATTTTTATTCTAATTTATATTTTATAGACAAGTGGACCGCCTCAAGAAAATTTAAATGCATTACAAAGAGCAATAGATTCTATGGAAGAAAAAGGATTACAAGAAGATCCTAGGTATTCTCAGTTATTAGCTCTAAGAGCCAGGCAAGGTAATATGGATCCAAGTCAAAGGCCACCCTCTTCAATGCAAGTAAGTTATATATAATTACATTTAATATAAACATAATTATAAATTATTAATTTTTACTTTTTTATGATATTTTATTTCTATAATTATTGTTTTTGTGTAGGGCAATTATCCTTCTCAACATCCGGATAAACCACCTTCACCACAGCAAAATTCTCCAAATCCTAATGGACCAAATGGACCAGTAGCACAAAATAATTTAACCCCAGCTCAAATGCAACAACTTAGAGTTCAAATAATGGCTTATAGATTATTGGCTCGACAACAACCTTTAACGCAACAATTGGCTATGGCAGTTCAAGGAAAATCTTCACCTCAAGGTTATCCACCAGTACCATCACCACACCATCGTCAACTTGAACCTGGAGAAATTGTAGATAATAGTATGGCTATGCCACCAGGAGGTACAATGAGAGTTCCAATGCCAATGCAGAATGTTCCCAGGCAACCCAATCCTCCTGGTCCTATTCCACAAGCTTCTGTTCGAATGCCCCAACCGGGTTCAACTACACAGCCTCAGATCCAACCTCCAAGTGTGCAGCATCCTCAAGGTCAACCACCAAATCAGTCTCCACCTGTATCTATAAATGGACCTCAACCGCCTTCTAGTATGGCACCTACAACACCAGGAATGCCTCAAGCTCCACCACAAATAAGTGCACCTCAATCTGTTGGCCAACCACCTATGGGAGGAGTCCCTCAACCTATGATGGGTGGTCCTCAACAAATGACAGGTATACCACCTCATATGTCAAATATGCCTACAACAAATGGACCATCTCCTCAACAACCTTTACAACAACAACAACAACAACCTCAACAACAGCAACAAGTCCAGGGTCCACCACCCCCGGTTAAACAAAATAGAACCACTACATGCCCAAAACCAGTAGGGTTGGATCCTCTTATTATGTTACAAGAACGTGAAAATCGTTTAGCTGCTCGTATTGCTCATCGTGTACAACAACTCAGTAATTTGCCAACTACAATGAGTGATGATTTAAGAATTAAAGTAGAAATTGAACTTAGAGCATTGAGAGTATTAAATTTTCAAAGACAGCTAAGAGCTGAAGTAGTAGCTTGTACTCGCCGTGATACTACTTTAGAAACAGCAGTTAATGTAAAGGCATATAAACGAACAAAAAGACAAGGTTTAAGGGAAGCTAGAGCAACTGAAAAATTAGAGAAACAACAAAAATTAGAGGCTGAAAGGAAGAAACGTCAAAAACATCAAGAATACCTAAGCACTGTATTACAACATTGCAAAGATCTTAAAGAGTACCATAGAAATAATATTGCTAAGATTGGACGTCTCAATAAAGCTGTGCTTAGTTATCATGCCAATGCTGAACGAGAACAAAAGAAAGAACAAGAAAGAATTGAGAAAGAGCGTATGCGAAGATTAATGGCTGAAGATGAAGAAGGATACAGGTTAAATTTTTATTGTTATTTCTTATATTATATTATGTTATTGTTAACATAGTTTTCTATTTTATCTTTTTATAGAAAATTGATCGATCAAAAGAAAGATAAACGTTTAGCTTTCTTGCTTTCACAAACTGATGAGTATATTGGTAACCTTACAGAGATGGTTAAAGAACATAAATTGGAACAGAAACGTAAACAACAAGAAGAACAAAAGAAAAAAAAGAAGGTAGATTTTAATTTAGTACATAAAATTTAATTTTATTTAATTATATAATTTATTTTATAAATGTAGAAAGATGGTCCAGATGATCTTGATGAAAGTTCACAACAATCAGATATGCATGTTTCAATAATTGAACCTTCTACAGGTTAAAACCTATTTATTTGAATATTATATATGTAAAATATTTTTTTAAAGATAAAATTGTATTGTAGGAAGAATGTTAAAAGGAGAAGACGCTCCACTTGCATCACAGTTAAACAGTTGGTTAGATGCTCATCCTGGTTGGGAAGTATTAGAGGAGTCTGATGATGAAGATGATGAAGAACAAGAAGAAGATGAAGGAAGTAACCAAAAACTCAAAAAAAATAATATTGAAAAAGAAGTTGATGAAAAAGAACCGATTAAAAAGGCCAAAATGGAAGATGATGAATACAAAAATGCTTCCGAAGAGCATACTTATTATAGGTTTGAGAGTTGCATTGAAATAAGTTTATGAATTATAACAATAACATATGTATTCCTTTTTTAGTATTGCTCATACAATTCATGAAAGTGTTACTGAACAAGCTTCTATTTTAGTTAATGGTAATCTAAAAGAATACCAAATAAAGGTAATTTAATATTAGTTTTGATATTGATTATATATAATCAATAGTCTAAATTAAAAAAATAAATATTAATAATTTAATATAAATTAATTTAAGGGTCTTGAATGGTTAGTGTCATTGTTTAACAATAATTTGAATGGAATACTTGCTGATGAAATGGGTTTAGGAAAAACTATTCAAACAATTGGTCTAATTACATACCTCATGGAAAAAAAGAAAGTAAATGGACCCTTTTTGATTATTGTACCTTTGTCGTAAGTATTATAAATTCTTATAAACATAGTATAAATGTTGTATATTAATATTTAAATCTGAATAATCTCTTTGTACAATATAATATTTTCTAAACAATTTAATAGTTTGCTTAGTGAACCATTAAGTCTCTTCATTAATGTTTTCATTATTATTTATAATTTGCATTGAAGTCATTCATTATTATTTTTTTATTTTTATTTTAGAACATTGTCAAATTGGGTATTAGAATTTGAAAAATGGTCTCCTTCAGTTTTTGTTGTAGCCTACAAAGGCTCTCCAATTATGCGTCGAACATTACAGGCACAAATGCGATCTAGTAAATTTAATGTTTTGTTAACCACTTATGAGTATGTTATAAAAGATAAAGCGGTTTTAGCTAAGGTAAACTATATTAATTTCATAATTTTGTCAACAAATTTAATTAATGGATAGTTAAAGTAAGTCATATATATTTTAGCTCCATTGGAAGTATATGATCATAGATGAAGGTCATCGTATGAAAAATCATCATTGTAAACTGACACAAGTTTTGAACACACATTACAATGCACCACATAGATTATTACTTACTGGTACACCATTACAAAATAAGCTTCCTGAACTTTGGGCCTTGCTAAACTTTTTACTGCCTTCAATATTTAAATCATGTTCAACATTTGAACAATGGTTCAATGCACCATTTGCAACTACTGGAGAAAAAGTATGTATTATGAATTAAATTGTTTGTAAATAATCATTTATATTGTTATTTTAAATATGTGTTTGTGTGTAGGTAGAACTAAACGAAGAAGAAACCATTTTAATTATCCGTCGTCTTCATAAAGTTCTACGTCCATTCTTGTTAAGACGTTTGAAAAAAGAAGTAGAGTCTCAGTTACCCGATAAAGTTGAATACATTGTTAAATGTGATATGTCTGGCTTGCAACGTGTATTATATAAACATATGCAAAGTAAAGGTGTATTACTTACTGATGGTGCAGAAAAAGGAAAACAAGGCAAAGGTGGTGCTAAAGCTCTTATGAATACAATTGTTCAATTACGTAAATTGTGCAATCATCCATTTATGTTTCAAAGTATTGAAGAAAAGTATTGTGAACATATTGGAACTGCTGGCAATGTTGTTCAAGGGTATTTTTTAGTGTATTAAGTTAAAAAAAAATATTTATTTAAATTTATTTATGTATTTATAGACCAGATTTATACAGAGTTTCGGGAAAGTTTGAATTATTAGATCGAATTTTACCAAAACTGAAAGCTACCAATCATAGAGTATTATTATTTTGCCAAATGACTCAACTTATGACTATTATGGAAGATTATTTGGGTTGGCGTGGTTTTGCTTATTTACGTTTGGATGGTACTACTAAAGCAGAAGATCGTGGTGATTTATTGAAGAAATTTAACAGTAAAGGAAGTGAATATTTCCTTTTCTTGTTAAGTACTAGAGCAGGAGGTCTTGGTTTAAATTTACAAGCAGCTGACACTGTTGTTATATTTGATTCTGATTGGAATCCACATCAAGTAATTATATTATATAATTTATTAATTGAATTTTTAGTTATATAACATTTATCATGTATGAAATTCTTATAGGATTTACAAGCTCAAGATCGTGCTCATCGTATTGGTCAAAAAAATGAAGTACGAGTACTACGTTTAATGACAGTTAATTCAGTTGAAGAACGTATATTGGCTGCAGCACGATATAAATTAAATATGGATGAAAAAGTTATCCAGGCTGGTATGTTTGATCAAAAATCAACTGGATCAGAACGTCAACAGTTTTTGCAATCTATTTTACATCAAGACGATGGAGATGATGAAGTAATTAATTAGCAACTTCCTTTTTTGACTGTTTATCAAAACTAAAATATGGTATAATTTCAAATTGTTTTTATTTAGGAAGAAAATGAAGTACCTGATGATGAAGTAGTCAACCAGATGATAGCACGATCAGTTGAGGAGTTTGAAACATTCCAAAAAATGGATCTTGAACGTAGGAGAGAAGATGCAAAATTTGGTCCAAATCGAAAATCAAGATTGATTGAAATATCAGAATTACCTGAATGGCTTGTTAAGGATGAAGATGAGGTATTATTTAATTGATATTGTTATTCTTATATAGGTATTATTAAATATAAATTATTTTAAAGGTGGAAAGATGGACATATGAAGAAGATTCTGAAGAGATAATGGGACGTGGTTCTCGTGCTCGTAAAGAAGTTGATTATACTGATAGTTTAACTGAAAAAGAATGGTTGAAAGCTATAGATGAAAATGTTGACGACTTTGAAGACGATGAGGAAGAAGAAGTAAAATCAAACCGAAAAGGGAATCGTGGTAAAAAGAGGGGCAAACGAAATGACGATGATGATGAACCAATAATTAGGAGACGTAAAACAATTGGACCAGAAGAACTAAAACTTCGGAAGAAAATGAAAACAATTATGAACATTGTTGTCAAATATACTGATGCTGATTCCAGAGTACTGAGTGAACCATTTATGAAATTACCATCTAGACACAAATTACCAGACTACTATGAAGTAATTAAGAAACCCATGGATATTAAAAAATTAATGACTAAAATTGACGATGGAAAGGTATGCATATTTAAAAAAGTTGATTAATAATTTTTCCATCTATAATATGATAATATAGTTTAATATTTCATATTTTATTTTTAGTATGCAGATTTAAATGAACTTGAAGCAGATTTTGTACAATTGTGTAAAAATGCTCAAATATATAATGAAGAAGCTTCACTTATTCATGAAGACTCAATTGTTTTACAATCAGTTTTTACAAATTCTCGTCAGCGATTAGAAACAACTGATATTCCAGAATCGGGTCCTGAAGAAGGAACCAAAAGTAAAAATCAATAATTTTTTTTTTCTGAAGTCCTTAAAAATAATTTAAACAATATTTATATTTTATCTTTAATCATAAATATCAAGAAATTATTTGAAATTATTTTTAATAATCATTTTCAATTATTTATTGTTAAAAACTTAATTAAAAAAACCTATATTATATAATATAATATGAAATCTTAATTAATCTAGCAATAAAAGTTATTTCTAAATGTTCTAGGTGAAGATGAAGTGTCAGATGCTGATACAACTTCTTCTTCAGTTAAATTAAAATTAAAAATGAAATCTCGCGGTAAAGGTTCTGAAGTTAGAACATCTAATCGTCGAAAGAAAAAGAAACATATAAGCGATGATGAAGATGATGAAGATTCTAATTTATAAACATATAATTTAGTATTTAGACATTTATTATTGCTATTTACATTTAAGAATTTAGTTAAGGAATATTTGTTTTCCTCAAATCTTAGAAATTAGGTTTAATTTCTTGAGTGGTTTAAAATTTAACTAATTTATGTATAAGTGAATTTATTGGGTCGAGAACAAATTAATTTTTGTATATATTATCAATACAGTGAGTATGTTATTCATTGAAATGAGATTCAATGTTGTGTGCACATATTGCATGTATTGGATTCCATTTTTGTCAACCCAAAATTGTACTATCTGAATACAGCAAAAATTAATTAAATATTGTAATACACTTCATTAGTGTTCTATTTGTAGTAGATATTTGTAGTTGGATATGAAGTCTCTTGATTAATATATTATAATAATATGCATTAATTCTTTTACAAATTTGATATTGGCTTGGTTTTTGTATGTATCTATGAGAAACAATTCAAAGTTATGACATTATTATATACAACAATCAATATGCTATTTAAATGTTATTAATTTTATCTAAGCATTTAAAAAATATGGGAAAATGCTAATTTTAGTTTTAAAAATGAAGAATTTTAAATTATTCTTAGAATGAATTCTATAATATTTTAAGATTATTTACTTTTAAATGGTAAATTTATCTAAATAATATATCAAATGTTTATAACCATTGATTTATAATTTATATATGTGGATAAAAGTTAACAGTTAATGTTTAATTTATTTCATTTGTAACTCAATTTATTTTCTAGCATTGATTTTTAAATATCAATCAAATATATAATTAATATAATATAAAATGTTATCTGAAGTCTCAGTTAATCATTTAAATAAAATATTAAATTATTTAATATAAACATATAAATCATAGCGCAATTTAGGTAATCATACCAGTGTTTTTACTCGATATCTGAGAAATATAATAATATTTAAATTTAATTAATTTAGATATGCCCATGGAGCCTTCTGACTTATTTTGTGGAGCACAGTTTGAGAACTGTTTTTGTAAAAGATAGTAAGTTACAGATACTTATTTGGTTATGTAATATCGAAAAGTTATGATGGGTTCCGACTGTTAAGATGTAATTTTGATAATTATTTACAGCTGTACACTATTTGTAATCTCCACATTTCAATTTTCTAAAAATGTGCATGATATGAAACCGCTTCAATATTGAGTTATTAGAGTGACAATGTGATTTGAAAACGGTGTATTTTTAACTAATCAATTAATAAAAGATTTTTTAAATGCTAAACTGAAAAAAAAAGGAAAGCCACGTGGCTATTACTTAAAAAACATGATGTTTTAATGATGGTCGTTAATAATTATAGTATAGGTACTAATTTATCGTGCCATATTAAAAAATATACCTTTTTGCAATAATGAAGTAGGTACTTTGAATAATATATATTTTTGTTTCAACAATAACAACATTCAGTGGCGTATATAGGTTTTCATTTCGGAGGAGGCCGTTATGTATTTGCTTTTTAAGTGGAAGGGAAGAAGGAAGCACACTATTACGAAAAAAATTACTTTAACACTATAAGACTTCTTGATTGTCTACACAATCAGAGAAATAAGAAACTCAATTTTTTTAATGATTTATTATTTTTTAAAAGTATAAAAACTACATTGTAATAAACAAATTTTTTATTAGTCACTCAAAATTCATCACATATTTTATAAATATAGAATTTTAAATTATCGCATAAGCCACATTCTCAGTGTCGCGACAAATTTTCGGAAACTCCCAGCATTATGTCAAAAAGCATCCATGTTAAAAATAACAATCTTTAAAAATATTGTTTTTCATTTCGGAAGGGGCCCGGACCCCCTCGCTCCCCCCATAAATACACCCCTGACAACATTTAAAATAAAACAATTAAAATCTCTGCACTTACATAAAATTGAAATTATTAATTTTTATGTACGCATATATTCTGTAATAATTAGTATTTCTTAATATATTTTTGTACTAATAACATTTTACTTGTGTACTCTAAGGCCCTACCAAAAGACTCATACGTAATATGTCATACAAATTATGCTTGACGTTACTGGATAAGTTTCGCACCCAGTGATGTAGTCTAAAAAAATTCTTGAGTATACGCCGATTGTAGGTAAAAAGTGATAGCGGGGTTAATAGTTAAAAGTTATTAATAAACTCCAATGCCACCATTTTTTTGTCCATAAGCCATAAGGTTAGTTAACAAAATAAAGATCCTAATTTGAAAATAGTGAAGTTATTTCTTTTCCGGTTATTTACCCATAAAATACCGAGTTTTATGTTTTGCACACCTTAAAATGTAGGTACATCAAGAACTTGAAATAGCAGAACAATCAAGTAAAACAGTCTTACAATCGGACGTCGGATGACTGTCTAGGAGCCCAGGTGCATATGTAAATACTATGCAATTATCCTTCCCCTTGTTATCAGCTGCGTACCTACAGGCAGAGCCATTGCAACCAAATATTGCACCCGGGACGAAACTTCAAAATGCGTCCTTAAGTATTTTAATTTATAAAAAAAACTGAATATTTTTTATAGATGTAATACCTATAATGATTTTTCCTTATAATTATATAAGCGCAATTTAATTTTATTTAAATCAATAAATTATTAAAATATAAATATATATAATAGTTATAATTAGGTTCATAGGTATAACATATTAATATTTATTAGTTATTTAATTAATTACATAAATACATCATATTGCTTTTACTTATAGATAATAATTAAATTGCAAATTTTTGATTTTTGCGCTCTCCCAGGAATTGCGTCCGGGACGGAGGAACCTCAACCCCCTTTTGCTAAGGCCTTCCCTACAGGCTTGAGTACTTTTCAGCCTCACGGTCGCAAGACCCGTTTCCCTGGTTGACGTGCATAGGTACGTTATGGAGACGACCTAACCTAACCTATCCCGCACGTGTACACTACGACTTCGGCCCAACGCGGCAATAGTTTATGTAGCTTTCAATCATACGCCCACCCGTATCGGAGGTCCTCGGCGATTCGACGACCATATCCGTTCATACTGCATCATCACATTTTCGAAAACGAAATCCATTGTTTAAATTGTAATCTCATACGATAGTTTTTTCGTTCCTCATGTTCTCTTTGACTGTTTATTCTAATCCATGAAGCAAATTAATTTTTTAAAACTGTTTAACTTTAACTCGAGATCCCCTTCAACTTTAAATCCATTCTTTCTTCCCAATCACCACTAGTAATTTTATTTACCATTTCTCTCTTCTACCTTTAAACGTTTAGTTTAATTGTAAACATTTTATTTTAATTAATTGTTAAAGATATTATATTTAGTTTATTTGTATCATAGTTAATAATTTTTGAGACTAATTGTTCAACCAAGTCTAAAAAAAAAATAATAATAGTTTAAACGATAATCCATTGTTATTTTAATAATCAATAACAATGATTATTAATAATCGTAAATTTTGCTCTGTTATATTTTATTTTTTAATGAATTTAAGATTCTAAAGATCATAATCAAGCGGAAGATTGATACTGTTATTCAGCTCAAGAAAAAAAAAAAAATTAATTGCACAGTTTTATAATTAAAAGAAAATTAACAACATTTGAAATTAAAGTTATACGAAAATTAATGATCCCAACTGTTTTAATATGAAAGTTGTGTGTTTCATATAGTAAAATAATGATTAATTTGTTAGTACATAAATGTATAGAGATTTTTTTTCAATAAAACGTGATTTGTTATTACACTCGTTTACAAACTTCATTGCCTATTATAAAATTCAATTTTGAGGAAACGACCCAAATTTTTGTATTTTCGGAGTCTAGGATGTTCTAAGAGGAAATAAGGTAACTGGCTTAATTTCACAGGGTCGTTGGAACTTTTTTTTTGCTTTTTTTTTTTCAAAACGGTACGGAAACGCGGTTCAAGAGCGGAGGACGTTAGCAAGGCAGCCGATAACGGACGAGGTTCGCGTGTGTTCCGACGATCGCCACAACAAAAGCGTCCGGCGCGGAACACGGACGATACGAGTCTGCGGTCTGCGTTTCGCAGGCCCGAAACGGTCGCGACATTGTTTATTCATTTGTTCCGTCGGCGTCCGGAACGAATTTCTCGTCCGCATTGTTGGTCGTCGCATGTTCACCGATGGGGGAGGGGGGGATACGAGTGGCAACTTGTACTCACGGAACTTCGCGTCAACGGCGCACGAACAGGACACGCGCGCGCGATTCGTTCGCCCCGCGGCCGAAGTTAATTGCCCGCAAACGATTTGCTCTCGACCCCAAAGATTTTTCAGCGTTTTCGCGCGCGTTTGCCATCCCCAAAATGACGCCACTGGTTTAATTCTATAGTACATCTCTAAGCCACGTAAGACTCCGTAAGATGAAATAAACGTGAATGTTTTCACTGAGGATTAACTTAAATACACATATTATATGATCTTATTAGTGGTTTTTTTTTTCATTACAATGTTACATTTATAATCCACTTTCAGCTCTAATAAATTACCTCTTGAGCGATTCGGCGGAGAAACATGCTTGGACGGTGCCGATATGATGTAGGAGGTCGACTGGAAACCGAAATCACGACGATAACGCTATGCGGCGAATTAGAAAAAAAAACCAATCGACTCGTAAAATATTGTTCGGTGTTTAAGTACTATCCGAATCGCGCCCTTGTATTTTTTCGGACCTGTACGATTTCATATAGAGGTCTGTAACAATACGCAACTATATTCATTTTTTTTCTCTGGTTAATCAGTTTACCTACTAAATATTTAATGAATAAATAATACATTTTTATAGATTTAATATTTATTGTACTACAAATTAAAAATAATGATTTTTCAATGAAAAAAATATATAATTTAAAATAAAAAAAATATAAAACGCATTTGTATAATAAAAATTTAAACTATCCCAACAGTCAAGTAGAGGCTCACTGTGCCGTCCTAAAGGGGGGTCTTGGGGGGGTGGCTCCCCCCCAGTGAAAACACCAGTCGGAAGTCGGACTTGTTTCATTATAGCGTAGAAGGACCTAATTTTACTTACGAAAAACAAATATTACATACTTCGTAATACAGTGTATACACGAATAAAATTTACAAAACTACTTTTTATACAGTATAAAATATTATTATATACATATAATTAAATCGTCAGTTTTAAGAACGTACGACACAAACATATATATATACTTGTTAAAAAGTAAAAATACGACTACATATAAATATTAACATTATACTACATATTAACTATACATAGTTAATCATACTACATACATTGAGTAAAAAAATTGTAGTCGGCATTTTTCATATTATTCATCCCCCCCCCTTGATTTTTATCTTCGGGACGGCCCTGGAGGCTCATGATGATTTTTGTGGTAAGAAACCAACTAAAAAGTAA